GCAAACTCAAAAACCAATCCATCTGTGAGGTTTCAGTATGCAGCTATCCCCACTCAACGCGTCTGTGTCTGGCAAACTCAAAAACCAATGCATCTCAAACTCAAAGCGTCCATGTGTCTGGCAAACTCAAAAAACAATCCATCTGTGAGGTTCCAGTATGCAGCTATCCCCACTCAACGCGTCTATGTGTCTGGCAAACTCAAAAACCAATCCATCTGTGAGGTTTCAGTATGCAGCTATCCTCGCTCAACACGTCTATTTGTCCGGCAATCTCCATCACAAATCACCTGTGAGGTTCAGTATGTGTCCTCACTCAACGCGTCTGTGTCTGGCAAACTGAAAAACCATTTCATCTGTGAGGTTTCAGTATGCAGCTATCCCCACTCAACCCGTCCATGTGTCTGGCAACCTCAAACCTACTCGACCCTTGGGGTTTCAGTATACAGCTTTAATCACTCAACACGTCTATGTGTCCGGTAATCCCCTACATCACTCAACCTGTGAGGTTTCCGTAAGCTACCCTCACTCCACGCATCCATGCGTCACNACTCGACCCTTGGGGTTTCAGTATACAGCTTTAATCACTCAACACGTCTATGTGTCCGGTAATCCCCTACATCACTCAACCTGTGAGGTTTCCGTAAGCTACCCTCACTCCACGCATCCATGCGTCACGCGTCTTTGGTAGCATACTATGGGGGCTATATTTGGGGTGGCGTGTTTTACAGCGCTTTGCCAACAGCGCCAACCCACTTAAGTCTAGAATGGGGGGGGCAGGGGGGGGGTGATTACTTCCGTTCATAATAAAATGAGAAGACTTGATTAGACAGCTGTTGACACCGATGAATTGTTCAAGCAGGCGCCCGCTGTTCGTAGTCCTGATGAAAATGCCGATACGCACCACTTGTTATCAGGCTATCCACGGCTACCAGTTTTGTTCCAGAAACACCGGTGCCCACCAAGCACAAAAGAGGGCATGCTCCCTGCAACCGCAGCCCTTGTTCCCGTAAAACCTTACGGTAGGACCGATGCAGAGATGTCTGTGGCGGTGGAAATACGCACAAACCCAAGCGTATTGCCAAGAAACGCGAATAACGAGACGAAGCATGCACCAGGCTAACCTAGAGCAACACATGCGCACACGTTCCCAACACACAGGCGGCGTCGGTGGCCCGGCCGCTGGGCGCGGGCAACGATGGCAAGGGCAGCGACTCCGTGTCCGGCAACAGCAGCGGCTTCAGCGGCTTCAGCGGCAGCGGCGGCAGCGGCGGCAGCGGCGACAGCAACGGCGCCGGCAGCCCGGACCTGGAGGACAGCGTCGACCTCGCCAGCCCTGACCTCGACGACCAAGGCAGCAGCAACCGCGGCCGGTGCGGACACCCTAGCTCCGAAGACGGGCACGCCAACAACGCCGTCAGCAGCGACTACGGCGCGGGCACCAGCAGCGGGAGCGTCAGCGGGGACGGCAACAGCGCCCAGAACAATAGCAATGGCGGAGCACATCGGAGGGCAGGTGGCGGCGGCGGGAGGCAGCCCCCTTCGGGTAAGCGTAAGAGAGAGCGGAGCGTGTGCGCCCCCGTGCCGCCACCGCCCGCCGTGGTGGCCGCACCGCCGGTGGTGGCGGCCGTGGGAAACCGGGGAAGCGGCGGCGGTGGTCAGAAGCAGCAGCAGCAGCAGCAGCAACAACAGCAGCAAGCGACAGTTCACAAGGCGGCAGTAGCAGCAGCTACCACCGGCACCGGCCGTGCCCGCCGAGGAGGAGGAGGCGGTGCTGCGGGTGGCCCGGAGCCGGAGGCGCGCGGGGGCGGGCGATCGGCCTCAGGGGGGACAGCAGATTGGGCAGGGGATGGAGCGTCACCAGTGTCGGCGCTCGCGGCACTGGCGGCTGCAGCGGCAGCTGCGTCTCAAGCGGCGCCCTTGACACAGGAGCAGCAGCCCTCGAGGCGACTGGCCGCGAAGAAATCCATACTCTTCAGGCACGGAGCTGACTCTCAGTCTTGAAGTATAACCAACCTTGATCCGGGGAGGAGCGTCGG